GTGGAATTACATAATTAATAAAGAACATTTCAACACTTTCTGACTGTTTTTAATTAAAAATATATTGGTATTTTTTTACTCTTACATTGTGATTTTATATTTAAAAAAATTGCATATAGAAGTTTTACGACCATTCATTGTACAATTGTACAATTTTGGTTACAATAGCTTAATGTTTTATGCATTTGACCTCATATTAAAATATTGACGTAGATTCCAAGCTGTTGCTATACATAAAAATAGTTTTAATTTATCCTATGTTTCGATAATCATTATAAATGTACCTACTTTGTAAATATAATAAATTTAGCTTTGAGCAGCAGATTTTATTTGTAGGTAATTTTCAACAATTTATATTAAAAACATGATACTTTTTGAAAATTAATTACAAAGTTGTTTTGATGTTGAATCATTTACATTTATAAATCAGTAGAAACAATTTTTGAAAAAGCAATGTCAGTTTGCAGTCAATACTTATTCTGGACTAAACAAAATGTTTTAGAAACAAAGAAGCCTGAATTCCTAATAACTGCAAGCATATCAAAGTAGGCCGTATTTATTCAAAAAATATCTGAACGAATAATGTTTTAATGTTATTAAAAGTAAGAAAACAAAAGTAACAAAGTACTTATTGTTGACAAAAATACTAACCAGTAGTATGCTACTTTGTCACCGTATCCTCTTTGAACAATTCTGTCTAATACGTTGTAACATATATTGGTTGTGGCTCCGTCAAACCATTTGGTGTAAATAGGCCCTTTTCTGATATCAAAGTTATATCTAAAAAAGTTATCATACTCTACTGGCGTTTCCCAATGAAATTGTTTGATTATTTCTCCCCAGAAGGCTTCTGGGTTATCCAGGGACTGAAGGTACATTTCACGGTATTGAGAAAAAGAGTTAATGTAAGCATTTTTCGAAAAATTCGGATTAGGATAATACACTTTCGTTTCAGACGGCATGTTAAACCGTTGGTATGCAAAAATAAATTACACTGTACGGTAGATAGGTCACTTGCGCGGAACAGATTATCACATTGAAACGTTTTCCACGGCCCGCTATCAACGAAATTGTGCGGTCGATTTTGTTTTCTCTTCCTGCGCGCTTCAATTTATACTGGTGCGCGAACCATGAAGTAGCAGAGCAGCAGTTCAAATTATCTAGATTATGTTTTTGATAATTTCAAAATTACAGTAGATACTAAAGTAATAAATGAAACATTAGCGAAACTAAGTAATATTAATTCATAATTGAAGGTGCTCATCATATGTATTGTTAAGAGGAAAGGTTTTAAAAACATTTTTAAAATTATTAATAATTCAAAACTATATTGCTTTGGTATTTTCATAAATACAAGTTAAAGTAACTTGAAGAAGTTTTTATATTCTAAATTCCAAATATGGACGGATGGTACCGTTGGTGGACGATGCATAACACATATCGAACCAAGGTATTCCTTCATACAGTTATCCTATGATTCCGTCGGCGGGCGTTTAACCACAGTCACACCTCTGTGTATGACTGAATCTAACGAGAAGCGATTGGTGATTTTTTAATTAAAATCTGAATATCGAACAAAAATGCACAATTTGGTAAACCTGTGGAGCATATTTTTAAAGTGAAACTTTTATTACATCGCCTTAATTTTTTTGTCCATCTATCGCATGCCGCATTACAGCATTTATATTCTCACTCATTCGGGCAAGTGCGTGACAATTACATTTATAGACTGTGAAACTCAAAGCGAAGATGAGATTATTGATATAAGTGCGAAATGATTCTATGATTTAAATAAATATTGTTCTCAGTTTTTAATGCATCTATCATTTGAATGATTGTATTTACTATGTATTCCGTACACTCATACGGAGATTAAAATTAAAATTTATAGTTGGATGTCTTGCTACTATTGATTTCTCATTATCATTCCCATTTTCCAATCATTAAGGTAATATTAAGAACGCGATTTTAATTTTAATATTCTAAATCGAATAATTTTCCGAAAATTTACAGTTAAATGCCTACAATCCAAAAATTTTGACTTGCATCGTGGTTTCATAAAACCACACAATTGTTTTTTTTTTCAATCACGTGTATCCGAAAATTTCACATGCTTCTTTTAAGACTGTCTCAAGCCAACTAATGAAAAACTTGAATAAAGCGTAACACCCTTCAAATTGCATTTATTGGACTTTATTATTTAAAACATTGGAGATGTTTGTATGAATTTTTACTAAGATTCATAATTGATTTAACTGAAAATGTTAATTGGATTTAACCACTATGAGGTTAATAATTTTATAATCCAATGAATGAAAGTAATAGATAACTCAATTTTGATATGTTGCTCATTCTAACTTATTTCAGGATAAACAAAAGATATTTTCGTTTTATTCAATGATTTCTGGCGGTCGATTCAAGTAAACATGGATTCGGTTGTATAAAATATTCATTAATTTGATTAATGTTTGTGGTTACAAATACTCAATATAGCTAATTGAATTATTATTTTACACAGTTGAGCCAGGTAATTGTCACAGTCAATGTGATTTATTTTTAATTGAATCGTTCTGCTCAAGTTAAATCAAATTTTGTTTCTTAACCAATTTAGTGAAGCTTAGAATTTACAGATTTAGTAAATAATTTAGACGATTCAACTGATAGATGATATCAAATGCATCGGGTTGTCATTCTATCAATACATTAACAAAAAAGTGGAGAGTAAATGGTATTATTTTCAACAGTAAAAATTAAAATAGTTGCAACAATTACTGATTGTAGAATTGTCTACAAGTGAAAAAAAATAATTGGATAGAATACTTTAGAGTAGTAAAATTTACTATCAACAATAGCAGTAGTATTTTTTACTAATATTCTCTATTATTTCTTAAACTATTTCAATTTAGTTAAATGAACTCTTACCCATCAGTAACAAATAATTTTCATTACTTTACTGTTTATTAATAGTTTCATCAATACAATACAATTAACGTAAACGTATTATTGTAATTTTAATCTAGAAGGATTTAATGTTAATGTGTAAGGCTTAGCGCGCACTGCGATGTTTTAGTCGCGAAAATGTAACACAGGCTAGTAAATGCAAGTGCGCGTATATACGACTAAATAATCGCCGCGATTAAAAAGACGCAACCGAACCTATTTGTATTTTGTATTGTACCTATTCGAAATTTAAAAAAATGCCCTTTTACTAATCCTTTATTTATGATAGGATGGACCCAACACTTTTCTTCTGTTTCCTTTTTGAATTGTTAGCTCTAATTCGTAATAACAATATCACTATAAGCGTTGTTTCTGTGATGTACATGTTGAAACTGACTAAAGGCTGTGATTATTCTGTCGCTAGTGATGTTAGAGGCAAGTTAAGAGACTTGGTATTGCTGTGACAAAATAGCTGGTATTTTCAATGCAAAATTGGCATGTTATACATATAGACCCGGCATAACGTTTTGCTAAGTTTACGGAATACAAAGTATCATCAGTATTACTTGATAAGGTTTTTGCTTAAGTTTAAGAATAGTATTCCAATAAAATAAAATTGGATATAATATACAATATAAACCATTCAATAAATATATAATTAATCAGTGATAAAATAGATGGCAGGGTTAATTAATTTGGTCAATATTCAGAACTTGGTATGTTTGCCTACCAAGATAGTAGTGACTTGGTAGATGGTACAAATCTTGAAAAACCAGTACATATGTNACGCGTTCCGACTGTTTAACAGTTACCAGAACGCGTTGCGAGCGTTTAAAAACAGCCAGAACGCGTTCTGTGCGTTTGAAGGCAGCCAGAACGCGTTGTGGCCGTTTTTTCCGGCCACTGAACGTTTTCGGTCTTCGGGCCTAACACATATACCAAGAAATTGGTACATCTAGCATCGCTGTCGGTCGTCACTGCGCACTGTTTTTGCTTTCTGCGGCTAAAATATCGTAGTGCGTAATAGACCTAAAGGTAATTTAATTTTTATGTAAAAATGTACAGAGTGGGCAAATTTCAAAGTTTGTATAAGACCATTAGGTACCACTTTTAGGGTTGGACTTACATGTTAAACCATAGAAACCTTCAACGTAATTGCTCCTTTCTACCTTATAATTTTAACTATATTTAATAGCCTTTATATCTTCGGATAGTGAAGTGATTTTAAATATACTGGCATCAGTTGATATATACAGTCATACATGACATTAATTGCTACACTATCGTCTTGTCGTGTTATAAAACGGCATGATTTGTCAATTATTGCAATGTTTCTACTATAAAAAAAAATAAGAAAATTATAATAGGAATGTCTTTTTTTGACAATTTACCCACGTGGTGATTTCACTTAACCCCCTTACATCTAATGTTTCAAAAAATTACTACAACAGTATATTAACAATATTCAAAATTTAAATAAATTGGTACATTGTATAAAAAAATAGCTATATAAGTATATACATAAGATACAATACAATTTTTCTAAACTTGACTAAACTATAAGTGATAGTCTGTAAGTATAGACTACTGAGTTTTACGGGATAGTTAACCATTTTGATATCATTACTAATAACGACATTAAAATATTATACTGGGATTAATCGTATTTTTATATGCTTGATTTTTTAGATTGTTTGTTAAGCAATTTGTATAATTAAATTAATCGTCTGATTTTACAAGGACCACGAGTTTTTATAACGCAATTAGGAAAATCCAAGAATCACATACGATGAGCAAAGTTTACACAAATATATACCAGAAATTCTAAGAAATCATTACTTGTAATCAAAATTTCACGCAGTTATAGTCTGCCAAAAAATATCACGTTATACTCCAAAGTATAAACAAAAAACATTTTAAGGTCAATGAAATAATTTGTAGAATAAATAATGATTGTGTATAGAGTTGATTTTAAAATAAAAGATATTTATCTTTATCAAAGTGGTTTTTGAAACGTGTATCACTTTTAATTATTTGCAAGAAATCGAAGATCGGCTTTTTATAGACTCTTGCATCCTATTTGACCTCTATATTACTTATGAAAATTACAATTTAACTATTTGTGATATATAGAATATAGACTATAATCTAGGTCTATTTCTACTCTTGTTGACTCCTGTTTCTGCCTCTATTATGTCTTTGATTAGACCTTCATGCCTGAGAAGGTGTCCTACTAACCTATCTCGCCTATTTTTTGTTGACTTCCATAGAGTCCTTTGTTCTCTTATTCTTTCTAATAGCTCTTCATTTTTAACCTTCTCTAACCACGGTATCCTCATCATTCACCTGTAACACCACATTGCGAACGCTTCTAACCTTTTGTTTTCAGCCGCGCCCACCGGCCATGTTTCGCTCCCGTATAGCGCCGCGCTCCAAACATACACTTTTAACAACCTTTTTCAAATTTCTAAATTAACCGTTTTCGAGCATAGAAGTGACTTCTTTTTATTGAAGGCAATACGACCCTACGCTATCCTGCTTTATATCCTTACTACTCCTGTCGTCCTGACTTATTTGACTTCGTAGATATCTAAAATCAGCCACTTCTTCTAATTTTTCGTCTCCTACCTTTATTTTCGCTCTTTCCCTACTTTTTCTTCCTTTGCATACCAATATTTTAGTTTTACTTTTATTTATTTACTGCTCTTTCCGTCCTAACTTATCTGACACCTAAAATCGTCTACTTTTTGTAATTTTTCGTCTCCTATCTTTATATTCGCTCTTTCCCTACTTTTTCTTCCCTTGCATACCAGTATTTTTGTTTTACTTTTATTTATTTTCCTACAATACTGTTTTGTCAATACGGCTTCTATTTTATTTGAAGCTTCACTAATTCCTTCTTGCTAGATGCTAATACTACTATATCATCTGCAAATCTAAGCGTACTAATCTTTTGTCCATGAAATGCATCTTCAATTAATAACATTATTAATTCTATTTGACATATAGAACATTTGAAAAATCGGAGTATGCGCTCCTCTGACTATTGATTGATATGCAGTTTCAATGCGGTTTACATAAAGCGACCTATATGAGCTTGGAAGGGTAGTGAAACAACAGAATATCGATTTGTTTTCATTTAAAAACACTAACAGAAACAGCGAAACATCTAGGCAAAGGTAAGCTGAAAATATTTTAAATAAAATATTTCTAAATTACAATTACACCTACTTTTGTTCAGAACCTATCCAGCAAATTTACCTAATTCCTTGCTATTTTCTATATTTAAAATCCGTGCATAAACAAATTTTAATAGTGGTAGAGTATTGAGTGCCTATACAAAAACAATGTTGATACATATTTTGATTTATTTGATCACAAACCACACTATTTTTAGGAAAAAGTGATGAAATCCCTTTAATGGAATTAATCGTACTTAAAAGACATATTACTAGCGATGGGAAAAGGTGATTATGAAAGTTTATGCGCCCACTGGGCATTAGGAGGGTTGATCTTGGTTGCTCTTGCCTCCTCAGAGTACTCAGGAGCCGGTACTACAGCGGCATTGCCTATTTCAGCAATAGCAGCAATATTAACAGGTAAATACATATATTGAATGTGATTTATAATTTGTATGAAGAGTCGAAGTACGATAATTGTAAACGATTAACGGAAACCTTATGTGGATAAGGCTAGTAGAGTCAGTAGAACAAAGGATGTATACCTACAAGCTTCAAATGAACTTAGTATAGTAAAGTAGTGATAAACAATTACAAATAAACCTAAAGGCCTTAAAATGAATTTAAAAATTAAGTGCTAATTAAATGCCTCAGTAAATAAAATGTTTCAATTTATTTTTATTCAATTAGATATTATTACTTATCGCTACACTGCTTTGCTGTATATGTTACTGGAAATGTATGAAATCCGCCATTGTATACAATTCCTAGGAAATAAATTATATAAGATACATTTCCTAGGAAATCTATACATTTCCTAAATAACAATCGAAAATGTACTACAGGTAATACTAAATAGACAATAATACGACAGGCTCCTTGGAGATGTACCTATATCCATTGATGAGGTCATTGTTTAGATACGGAGATTTATGACAGACTGGAGTTTCTTTCATGCCCCTGCTCATTGGAGGCGGGCGGATATGCTAGATGTTAGAATGATGTGACGGGGTTATCTTTGTTTCAGCAAACATGATGACCTTAAATTTTTTGTATCATGTAGAGGTGATAATTCCGATCATAAATATATACATATATTTATATATGTATATGTTGCGTGCGAAGATAATAATGAAGTATACTTTTCGAATTCAATATTCCAACATATCAGTCATGTATGTATCAGGATAGGGGCATTACAGAAAATCCCGTCTGTTATAAATCTACTTAATAACCATACATTAACGTCACTAATGCATATACATTTTCAAACCTAACCTAACCAAACAATGTCAGCGATGCATATACATCAGGCGATCGCACTAGAACCGCGTAAACAGATAACGTGTTTTATTCATTTTCATTATACATTTCCTAGTACAATATCGGAATTTCATACAATCCGTAGGAAATGTATACATTTCCCAGGATATATATGTATTAAAAAATCTTTGAAACAATATTTCATAGATTTCCTAGATTTCATATATTTCCGATACATTTACATATGTATATAGCTAGCAGAACAGGCGATATTTAAAAAAAAGACGAGAGTTTATAGGTGTACACGCGAAGAAACTTCTTTAAATTGTATATTATAGTATTCTTTAAATTGACTTATATAACTATTGCACTAATTAATTACTAAAAACCAAAAAAATACAACTTTATTTCGAGTGGACGAATGCGAAATATTAGTTTAGTTTTGTTAAAAATTTTTACGCTTGCATATTCAATACATATACAGTACAACTCAGGCGCGATCTGCTGACAATTTGTCGAAATGGCAATCTTCGGATTAGCGGTTGCTACTAACAGGCTAGCTTCTGAAGCCTGTTAAAATGATTCCTTTTAGACATATCCACCAGGAATCACACGTGGTACGTGACGCGTGACGTTACACATTTCGGTTTAATACCCTAGTAAATTGCCTTCCCACCTTCGATAAAGATGTTTCACTTTAAAAAAAGGCCATTACTTTTTTATTAGGATATAATTAAAATTTAGTTTTTCAGTTTAAAGTTAGCATGTAAAAAGATCACAATTTTTTTTACTAAAGCTTTTAATTAGCATTTACTTTTTTCATTCAGTTAGATCTACTTTTGACTTTTTAGCATTCTGATCTGAGTTCGCCTGCAGCTAACATAAGAGGCTATATATTTTAAAAAAGGGAGCAATAATCTTTTTTACTGGAACATTTACTTTGTATGCAAATTATTTTAATTCGATTAGATTTATTTTTAATTGTTTATTATTATTCTGCTCTGCTGAATTTAGCAGAACAAGCGATATTTTGAAAAATAACCGAGCAATGAATTTTTTATTGGGACATTTTATTAGCATTATATTAGCACATAATTATTAGGTACACCATCTTTTGTTCTGTTGACTTTGCTCTCCTAGTTCTACGGATATGGAAACCTTAGAAGTAGGTTTTCAGGTAGATAATAATATAATTATTCAAAATTCAAGAATACCTACGCCGTCAAAATAAAACGGATAGGAATGTTAGTAACATAAAACTGACTATCTACTTGACCATCAAAATGTACACAAATAAATACTAAATATAGAAAACGAGTAATAAAGAGGAGAAGATCAATTCAATGAAATACCGACAATAATAATCTGATGAAATAGTGAGTTTAGTGTTTACTGTTAGGCCAAGATCTCAATAGAAATAAAAAAAAATCACAAAGAATATAAAAATATACAAACATTATAAAAAGTTTATCACGACAATCAGGGGGTAGGAATTATACGTACAATATCAAACCATTGGAAATTAAAAAGGTCATTTCAAATAAAAAAAAAGTAAAGATCAAGTTTTGATTCTTCTAAGCCTTGATTTTTTAAGCTGACCGATTGTCAGTTGAAATAGTAAAACAGAACAGAACCAGCTCACTTATATCGAATTTTATTTGGCATTGTTTAGCAATAGAACTTTTTAATTAGTAAAATCAAACACGAAATACCACTTTAAATTTTGAACTCGTATGTAAAATATGTTTGTTTAAAGTAACTATTTTTATTTTATATGAGTTAAAGTTTTTTTTTAATGTTATTACAAAGTTCTAATCTTATGGCCATTTCTTTTTAAGTATAATTTATAACAGTGTAGTTTAAGTTCTTTGAGAAATTAATTTTAGTAAAACGTGTAATCTTCAAAAATCACTACCACAGCCGGTTGTGCGTTAACGGAAATGTGGTAACCTTAGCTTGACATAATTTCATTTTATTGAAGGTGCCCCACCAGAAGCTTGCGGGGTCTTAATTTTTAAATATAAAAAAAAACACAAATGCTATTTTAAAAGGCTACTAACCATCATCATACAATCACAACGATTTCTTTTTGGAGTAGTTTTGAAACTTTCAAAATTTATTTCACTTCTTATATTAACAGTTTTCATCAAGTATGGTATACTCATACTGTAGTTTGAATTTTAATGTAACATGATTGAAGAATTACTGATTTACATATCACGTAAACTTTATTAAAATACAAACTTTAACTGTTTTAATATATCTGTACCATTGTTTTGAAAGTTATTTCAACACAACGATCCTTCCTAGACATAAATCTGTAATAACCTTCCTGTTGGAGCAATCAATTTTTGATAAAAGTATTTTTTCAATGTAGATAATTGTTTTGTAAATGTTTAGAGCTAATACAAAAATATATTACCAGCAATAGATATCTAATCAAATTCTGCATAAAAAAAGCTTAATTGATTATATTTATAAGTTTTGTTAACGTGCGTTAGCGTGCTAGGCCTAAAACCCATGTCTAGCTGTTTGAGGTTGTCATTTTGTTATAAACGTGGATACACTTTATTACATACTCCATACATACAAATAAAATTGAAGTATCTGTAATATTGAAATAATTGCATTTCTTAAACATATGTAAGTAATTAGAAGCTATTAAGTCAAAAAGGATTCCTAAAAATCTGTCTGGTTGCCTGTACGGATTATTCTTCAAAACGGTTGAACTGATTTCGATGGCAGTTTAAGACATGGCAGAGAGAATGCAATCAGGAGTAGTGACGAGCAAAATTGATCTTGGTCTTACAGTGTTGGACTTGGTCTTGCGAAAAAGTTGATATTTGCCTTTTCGGTGTATTTTCATATGTAGGATTATTATCTTACAAATCGCAGTTACACCTGTTTGTGTACCACAATTTATATGCATATTGAATTCGTCATAAAAAGTAATTGCCAAACGACCAACAGGAGACGGGCTACTAAGGACAAATAGGGAGGTAGGGAGAGGGAAATTTTGGTAACCATCCTCAATATTTCCCACAAAAAATCCCCGGCGTTTCGACCCTAATTCGTCCAAATACCACTCATTGTTATTTTGAAATTCTAAAAATGCAGTTATACTTATGTAATATTATTATTTTCTATTCCTATGTTTCTATCCTTAACGTAAAGTAATATAAAGTTTATTTAATTATACGCACAAGAAACAATATAGTATTGTCCTACTTACAACATTATCAGTGGTAGCAGTGAAGATTAGCGTACACCTCTATGATTTTTCTGAAATTCTAGTGTGTTGTACTATTCGTTAGGCTGAAACTGATATTGGATCATCGTCTGATCCACGGAAAATGTGTCGGTATAGTGGTTGTTCGTCATTAAATAATAATAATAATAATAAAAAAACTTATAAATACTTGGGCTATAATCAAAGTCGAAATATAGATCATATTAAATCAGAATTATCTAACAAACACACAACTAGGCTAACCAAAATACTTAAAACACTTCTATCAGGTAGAAACAAAATTAAAGTTATTAACACATATGCTACACCAGTACTCACTTACTCCTTTGGGATAATTCGTTGGTCTGATACTGATTTAAAGTCACTTAATAGGCTAACTAGAACAAAGTACAACAAATACAACAAGCACTCTGCTGCTGAAAGGTTTACAATTAAAACACAGTAAGGAGGAAGATGGATAATCGATATTAAAAATCTACATTACAAACAGATTATTAATTTGCGGTCATATTTTAGAGCAAGAAGTGCTGATAGTCCATTACATTATTCAATTTGCGTCATTACAACCTCTGGTACATCACTATACCTTAATGATGCAGATTTTAATCCTGAGGACAATATTATGAAAGAAAAATTAAAAAATGAAATGTGGAAATCAAAAGTGCTTCATGGAATATACCCGAACCAACAACAGCAGGAACATATAGATAAAGAAACTTCTAATATGTGGTTAGAAAAAGGAAATATATTCTCAGAAACTGAGGGTTACATGATAGAGATTCAGGAAAAAATAATAAAAACAAAAAACTGAAAAATATGTTATTAAAAATCCCACAATTTCATCGGACACATGCCGAGCCTGCAACAGATTTCGCGAAACAATTGACCACATCACTGGGGGTTGGTCACTTTTAGCCCGCCGACAATACGTCGACAGACATAATAATGTTGCTTAACAGATACACTCGCTGTTAGCCCAAAAGTTCATAGACCAGATAGAGTCGTACTACAAATACAAACCACAAAATGTATTAGAAAATCACTTAGCCAAGCTTTATTGGAACAGTTAATCATAACAGACTTGATATCACACTGACCATCAAAGAAACTAAAACAAATTAGCTAATAGATGTTTCTGTACCAAACACTGAAAATCTTAAACAAAAACATATTGGAAAAGTTCTAAAATATATTCCTTTGGCAGATGAAATAAAAGAAATGTGGAATCAGAACACAGTTCGAACTATTCCAATAATAATATCATCAATAGGTGTTATACCTAAAACATTACACGCTAGCCTAGCCAAGTTGAAACTGCATAAGCTCACGTACATAAGTCTACAGAAACCAGTAATCTTTGATACATGCGGAATGGTGCGCAGATTTCTTAACAGTACTGACACATCCCCCTTTTCAGAATACACAACAGGTTAAATAAGAAGCGGAGTTTTTAATAATCACCGATCATATTTTAGGGCAAGAAGTACTGTTAGCTCTTTAAAATTTAAGAACAGAAAATTGGTTTCTATGTCATATCGCAAAAGATGTGAGTGAGGATCTTTGGCATTAGCCCGTCTTCGCTTGCTCAAAGTTACCAGTGAAAACTGAGAAGACCAGGAAAATAATAATAATAAGAAGGCTCGATCTTTGAAAATAGTCCACTTGGAGTTGATTGACTGCTACAAGTTTCTTAAATCTAATACCATTATAATGCAGTCCGATTCTTGGAAACACTTACCTAGACTTGTGGAGTCGAGTCCACGTGGATTCGAATAAATTATGAAGGTCCATCTGAAAGCTCGTACTATATATTAATAATTTCTTTAACTTTAATTTCGAAAAACCAATCACATGACCCTATTATGTAATATCTGCATGTCTTCGTTCTTTCTTCCTAATCACCATCATGAAAGTTATAGGTACTACGCGACATCCGCATAATGCGAGTTGCAGAAGTCATAGAAAAGGTCGAGAGAAAACAAGAGAAATTAGAAGAGAGAACTCTCTCTAGCTAGCCAGTTATCTCTCCTCTATAGCAATACTACCTAGCTGCAAAGCTACCTTGCTAACAAATAGCTGTAAAGCTACCTTGCTGCCAACTAGCCACGTTTTACTTGAGCTGGTGTCACGAACCAGACGATCTGTCGTCGACAAGAAATTACACCACCAGGCGACTGTATGACTGTCTCTGATGTCATACTGACGTCCCACACCGACAACAGTACTACTATTAACCACCGCTTGTCTTCCGTCGCTCACGACAACAAATTAACCGCCCTAGCGGAAACCCCGGCTTCAGAAGATTCGACGCCTTTTTTCGTGTTTCTTTTGTTACTTTTACTTCATTTGGTATTATTATTATTATTCTTATTCGTTATTCATTCATACATTAATTATGAATAGTTGGTTGTATGTTAATTAAATAAACATTGTGGTCAGTGTTCGCCAGTTTAATTTGATTTCACTGAACAACCGTTTGTCATAATCCAATAAATGAAAACTGCAATAAAACATAAATATGTATGCTTTGGTAGCAGAAACCACGTTTACTCTTTTAGCTTTAAAAAATTAAAAATTACGACGACGTGTTATTGATATCTCGCATTTCATTAATCTCAATAATACGTACAGGGTTTAAGCAACCCCCTCCTCCTCCCACTCTCACCCTTGATGTCATTTTAAATGAAGGTTGAGGGTGAAGGGGAAGGGGGTATTAAAAACTTTGGACACCTTTTAAATAACCCCCTCCCCTTCTCTCCAATTTTGCATGAAATATTTTAACCCGTCGCCCTAGTCTTAGATCTTGCAGAGTTCCATGCAATAAGATGTCGAAGGTGCGAGGAGAAAGGGGGTTATTTAAACCTTGTACATACTTTTTTAGCACACACCCCTTACTCCTCCTAATCTAACCTTACTTAAATGATTTGGGAGATATCGATAAACTTGTCATTCCGGAAATATTTCATGCAAGATTAGAAGGTGGGTAAGAGGGCTAGGAGGGGGTTGTTTCAATCATGTACATATTTTTAACACACATACACATACACATACACACACACACACACACACACACACCCACACCCACACCCACACCCACACCCTTGCCCCTAACCTAACCTTACCCAATAATTTGTGGGATATCAATAATACGTCGTCGTAGTTTTTATAATTTCTCAAAGCTGTAGAGAATACACTCTTGATCAGCACTACGTATAGTATAACATACTGAAATTTCAAAAAAATCGGAAAGGTGTACGCTAATCTTCACCATTACCTTGTCGCTATAATCATGTATTAATTTTAATTTTTAGCAATATCAACAATTTCTATGCCTACGGATATTGCAATCCGAAAACGAAAATTCAGCGATTTGCTGATTTTTTTAGCTGTATGGCTTAATTTGTTAGAACATATTTTATCAGCAGCGACATGTTCAAGAATGGCCAGTGCTACCATCGATTATATGACGAAGGGTTATCTTAGAGATTGGTTATTTGGCTTAGAATCGCATTCCCTTGGAGAACCGTGGCCAGATGTGATGGGATTGTTTATTATTGCTGTAACTACAGCTATGTTTATGTTAGGATTAGAAGTAATATTTTTTCTCTAACTACCTATTGCTTATTATTTAATATACGTTTTTTTTCCGTAGAAATCTTTATTATTTTCGGTTCTCTTGTACAATGGAATAATATTCACTTTCTTTTTGTTTGTTATAATTGGAAGTATGAATGTCGATATGAAGTTTTGGAACTGGGCAGAAGATTTTCATTTAAGTGGATCAAAACGTGTAAGTTCTTGTTTGTTCATCTTTTTTACTTCTACCGACAGCTTTATAAGTGGGCATATAGAATATGTACATGTGCTGCTCTCTCTATCTTTCTTAATCATTATGTTCAATTAATTTGAATTTGTGTACATGTGCCCTGAAAGCATTTAATAAGAACACTTACAGGGAACTCGATTTTTTTATAATGAATTGAAAAAACTTACTCCCTGTTTCCCTATAGGATCACCTTGTTGTGTATCTGTCTGTCCGTCAGGATAGCTTTTCGAAAATAATTATCAATTTTCAATGACATATTGAAATATTTGTAGAACTAAGTGGACGTTTCCATGCTTGTTTGTTGAAGAGCCATCATTTGCCCCCGAACATGTTGCAATTCATCCAATCATAATCAAAAAGTAAATTTCATACACATCTACAAAATATTTACAATTGTTGTTATAAATGTAAAAAGACAAGTGTCCTCACATCCAGTCTCGTTATCTATCGTAGAAATCTTACGTTACGTGACCTTTACCTGTTTACAATTAATGAACTTAGTTCAGGTATTGCGATAAATGTGAATTATTCCATTTTTGTAAATATTGTGAATAGTATAAAGCTTAAATGTATTAAGGAGGTTCGCGTAATTTCTCCAAAATTGATTTATTCATGGTACTTGAGTTTGTGACAAATGATGATAATATAAATGCCGAAGAAGAACGCTAAGGTGACAGGAAATTAGAGTTCATACAAGCGTTCTGAATCTCAGTGGTTTTCAAAACGCTGACGCTGTAGCGGTATCAAAAATGGTTTTTGGACTGTGAGAAAAAAATTTATTTACAAACTCGTATGCGTAGATTTCAAATATACGGAAAAAAAATCATATCCCAATCCAATTGTATTGATGGTCTCAGTACCACTTGTATCTTCTCTGTTTATGTCACATTTTAAATATTACCTAGTTTTTAAATTTTGATTAGAGAAACAATATTTCCATTTGATTTATTTTTGAGATATAATTTATACGAAAGTGTATTGAACAATTATATTGCTTAAATCTGAATAAATAATTGATATTGTAGTTGGTGGGTACTGGGATATAAATAGTTAATAATGCGATAATATCATATCTGTGCCTCTCTTTTTAAGGTATTAATAACTGCAGCAATATGTTCATACGCCTTTCCGAATACATTATCAAAGACTTTCAAAAAATACATGTGCCTTAAATATGCGATATTACTGGTTATCCCATTGTTTTGTTACACGATAATTATTTTCCTCTTTACTTCTATGTCTCATTATAGGTAAGTACATATATGGGGATGTATATGTAGCATCCACTTGCTATAATTGTCCATTTCGTAAACTGGATGTCCAGTTCGTCAAATGGAGCTAGACAGTATAGCAAATAATAATTTATTTCATTGTATGAACATTTTCCTTGTTCAGTTCATGGAACGAGTATAGCATTTTTTCAATCAGTCAAGCTAGACTATTTTAACATCTGAACACAGAAAGGTATTGCGAGGTTATTTTTTTTTATTTTTGAATTAAACCTAGGTGTAAAACTTTTTGAATGAATTTTAACGATGGATATTTTTTATCGAGGAACCAAACGGAACAAGATGTTTAGTACTAGTTTTTTGCAAAATTAACTAACTGGAAAAATACTACACTTATTTCATGAACTGGACAAAAGATTATCCAAATATAGTGAAATAAAATACTTATTACTACAGTATCTGGTGCCACTCACAAACTAATGGGCAATTACGCCAAGTGGGTGCGACATATATACATTCTCTTTTTGCATATTAAATTAGGAGTGGCTGCAATTGTTATTGTTTTCTTTATTTATCTTGTTTTGAGATTATATCTAATCAAAAAGAGAAGTAATTGTGGCACTGTTTCTTTACTTTAAGTTTATTTTTCTACACTTACCTGATTATCAGTTCTTTATTATAGGGAAGTAGCAGGTACTGCAATTCCTCTGGTTCGAGTGTTCGAACTAAGAGGAATTAAATGGGGAGTAACCGTTATGGCAGTTTGTACCCTGTACATAGTTTGCATAGCACTAACAGAAATAATGCCATCAGCGTATAGTCTTGTTCTGTATCTAGCAGGAAATGAATGGAATATTCTTCCATCTTCTCTTCTATATAGAAACTCAGAAAGCGGAGCTTCGGTATTAGCAATATTTATCGCAGGTAATGTAGTAAAAAGATGATTTAAGTAGATATTTTATTTTGACAAATTGTTTCCCCCCTATCAGTCACGTGAGCTCGAAACTGTTAGTACCATTGTTTCGAGTGGTGGAAATTCACTTTTGTGAACAATTTGTTTAATCGCTTTCTTTGTGTTGAAAATTGTTTATAAAATTATATTTAAAGGAATTGTTTGTAAATAGGTATGAAACACATCGTACTCTTCAGCATAAGAAATTGCTGATACTAACTACATAATACTACTTTGTCCTGTGCTGACAGCACTCATAATTTCTTTTGTATATAATATTGTGAAGAGTAGAATGCACTATTGAATCCCACAAAGTTGGAAAATCGTACCTCCTATTATTTACTCTTCATAATTTAGAATATTAGTCAATATTTGTAAAAAACTTTGTTAACGTTCACAGTTTAACCAAATTATTGTTTTCGGTAAGATGTTCTATATTGCGTACGAATTTTTATTAAAAATAAGACATAACGAAGTCCCTGCCACAACCAAAAGAAAAATGCTTGAAAAGTATACAGGCAGCTAATTTATTAAAGAAAGCCTTCTGCGGAAGAATAAACTGATATACTAATAATCTATAAGAAATTAAACTTATTATTAATTAAATTAACAATTATACCTAACAGAAGTTTTTAAGCAAATAACAGCAATTAGAAGGAAATAGATAAGTTGCTATGTTGGTACATGGCAAATTATCGTGCAAATGTGTTATTTCGTGTGTAGAGTAAGTTTTTATTACACACTTCACACGTCGAATTATCTTGAACGTAAATTAATTAAAATTAAAGGGTTATCGTAAAGATAATGATTAAGAATGTTTTCATTAATGATAATGTTATTATGTATATATTACCACATTTTAAAAATTATATCAAAATAAGTCTACAATTTTCTGAGAAAATCACGAATATAAGAGGAATCTGAAAACGTTCCTTGATTTTGACATCGTTTTTAAAATTATTACTGATAAAAAAGTACGGCATTCCCTCCCAGGTGCTGCGAATTGCTGCCCGAGCTGAAATCGTTGAACTGACTTATTCTTTTTTGACACTGCTTATTATCTTCTACTGTGTCGTAGTTTAGATCAGAGAAGAGAGACTAGTATAGAAGTCCAATTCAAATGGAGGACTAAAACGTGAGTAAGAAATTCTAAATAGAACCAGGAGATGGCGTTGCTATGAAAATGAGCGCCTCAACGCTGTATTGAGTCGGAGCAAAGAGTGAACGCAGTAATGGCAGGGGTAAATAGTAGAAGTGGTGGGATCATAGAACGCATAAGTCTTTTTCCTTTGCTGTTGTAAGCCAAGTTTGTAAAGAAAAAAAAATAAAACGGTTGATTTTCCGAAGCGACAACTACCGGTCGGATGACAGAAGCTTCGAGATTTACCGACATGTTATCCGAAACGAAGTCCGGATTATTAACCCAGCATTGGACTTCTATACTAGTCTCTCTTCTCTG